TATTTGCTTTTAAGATTCAAAAGTGTTTAAGGTTTGATGAGTATAGATCTGTATAAGAAATAAACCAATGACATCTACAGTATACATTTATCAATTATGGATTTATGTATGATGCTTGATAAAACTATTTATAATATATTCTATAGGTTTTTATGAGATTATTCACATAATTATTTTTTTGATTTAACTCTATATTTATTTAAAAAAATTTACTATTTTATCATATAATTAATATATATTCATAATGGGTAAACATTTTTTTTCACTTATTTATATATGGGTCTGCATGATATGAATTACGACATGCGAATTAAAATATAAATTGATCTCTAATGATTCAAGACTCATGTTTAAATAGTATTTCAAAATATGTTTGTAATTCACCGGGTTACTAACTAAAACTTAAATATCTATATCAATAATTTTTAATGTGATTACCCGCATATCAACGCATGTCCTAATCTAGTAGTTAAAGAAAGTAGAGATATTTCTTATGTATTTATGGGTGGACAAATAAAATAGAGAAATTTCAAAAAATGCCACACTTTTGAAATCTTTACAAAAATACCACTTTTTCAAAATTATTTTATCTTTATATTATTTATGTTTGGGTTAATTATGTTTTATTAGGGTTTAGTTTTGAGTGTTTAGGGGTTTTAGGTGTCAAAATATTTTTTAGGATTTAGAATTTTAAGATATAGGTTTTACAAATCTATAATTAGTGGCATTTTTGTAAATGGACACTCCTAAGTGGCATTCTTGCAAATGTGCACACAAAAAGTGACATTTTTGTAATTGCTCCAATAAAATAAAAAAAATAAATATGTGTCATGTGTACGTGGAAGGAAAATCTAAGCAAATGGTTTGAAGTCATATATTCACATGGAATAATGTTATGAGAAAACTTCATTAGTTTATCGTAATCCTCTATATATTAATTGAGAAAACATTAAATGAAAAAATCCTATATATAATTCAAGAAGAATTTTAAGGGACAAATCAATTAAATAAACCAATCAAAATATTCTAATTAATTCTATATGCCATGTTGAAAATCTTTACATAATTATATTAATTTTTTAACATAAATTCACAAATATATATGTTATTAATTTAATTCCATCTAAAATATAACATTTTTATAGTTAAATGTTATATAACATAATGTTTTAAAGATGAATCACTTACCGATGTTAATTATTTTATAAAAATTGTTTTATGTCCATTTAGATACCATATGTGATTGATCATACAA